TTTCCTCCCTCCCACCTCTCTTTAACCAACCCTCCCTTCCATCCTTCCTTCCCTCCTTCCCTCCCACCACTAAGGTATTGTTATTACAGTATAATAGTTTACGGGTTATCGATGTGTCTCACCTCCAGCTTACAGTGACCCCTCATCTGGAGAGAAAGAGAGAGAGAGAGAGAGAGAGAGAGAGAGAGAGAGAGAGAGAGAGATGAAGACAAAGAGAAATAAAGAGAAAGTGCCAGAAAGAGAAAGATAGCTCCATCTAATTACTGTTTCACTCCTAGACTTCACAAAATTACCATAATGTTTCTATAACTTTGACGAAATTACCGAAATTTGTTATTATTTAAGCAGTTGATTTTATGCTTCCTAATACAAGTTGTTGATATTCATGTGACTTGTTTCCTGCTTGTGAGTTGACTTGTATAACACATTAACTAAAGTGGAGTGAATCATAAGAGTGTAAGGATAGTTTTATATAGTTTGTTTATAACGTAGAGATGATGGTGTGTCGTGGTAGGTCAGCCTGGTGGACGCCGTTGTGGTGGTGGTGTGTTGTGGTAGGTCAGCCTGGTGGACGCCGTTGTGGTGGTGGCGCGTCGTGGTAGGTCAGCCTGGTGGACGCCGTTGTGGTGGCGCGTCGGGTAGTCAGTCGCCGTCGTGGTAGGTCAGCCTGGTGGACGCCGTTGTGGTGGTGGCGCGTCGTGGTAGGTCAGCCTGGTGGACGCCTCCAGTGAGATACTATTATATGACACTTTAATATAGTTGTGTTTGATCTCGTGATGTATGTTTTGTTTTATTTAGTTTTTTTAGTATTCGTCTTTATTCTTTGTTATCTATATAAGGTAATTTAGGTTGATAATGAACGGCAGGTAATTGGTAAATCACTATTACCTTATCTAAATCCTGAAGAAAGAAGGTCACTGATTAATAATTCCTTTATAAAGACTAAGATGGCTATTGATAATTCGGTTTCAATATTTATGCATGATTATCTAAAAGAACATTAATAATAGGCAAAAATAATAATTATTGGCAATATATTTAACTATAGTATTTCTGAGATATATAAACTTTTCTAACTCTTACTGTAATCTATCACATTATATCATTAAATAACGACTATCAAATTATTATAAGTTTCGTAATAACTTCTCATTAGTCATACATAATACTTTTATTACTTTTAATACTTTTAATACTTATAAATTCACCTCTGTCACAAGTAAACTTCTCTTCCTTGACTCTATAGGACGATGATTTAACCCTCTGAAGATGACGGATTAACCCTTTGACAACGCTCATTTAACCCCCCAAGACTCAAAGGGTTAAAGAATCACAATGCAGTTTTAGTCTAAGTCACTAAGATTTGGTTGAAGTTTTCTGTGTTACGAATTGAAGAATTAAGAACTGATTTTGTCTTTGGATTTGATTTGTTTGTCGTTTCTCGTTTGTTTGTGTGTTGTGTGGGTGACAATATTAGACGTCTGTACCGTTGTCCTGGTCATCCGGGGGCTGGGCTGGGCTGGGCTGGGATGGGATGGGATGGGATGGGCTGGGCTGGGCTGGGCTGGGCTGGGCTGGGCTGGGATGGGCTTTACACAGCTATCTTCATCTTAATATATAGTACAACAAACTGTTAGAGGAGAATTGTGTTAGGTTTTTGTTCAAGTAAATGCTTCAGTCCTTCCCTCGACGCAATATAAAACTCAACCAACAATAAGTTTTCATATTTTGAACATCATAGTCGCTTTTTTTTTGTAAGGTTTCAGTGTCCTCAAAATACAAAACCATGTCCTGTGGTGTATTTTTCGTGTTCTTTCTTTTTTGTGGGGGGAGGGGACTAACCCAGGCTACAGCACAATTTTTTTTAATTTTTTTTTAGGAAGTATCCGAGTTTTATGTTTTATTTTTCCTGGGGTGATGGAGAATAGGACCTTATTTGTTTAGATTTGAAAATAAAATAGAATTAGCCAAGGCGTAAGAAATGGAATAAATCTTGTGACCATTGGATGTGTACACTATGCAACAGTTCCACCCGGTCCACCTGGTCACATCAGTGGGTTCGTGTCTACATGATTGGCAAATTGTCAGAACAGCAATGTTTTCTCTCTGTTAACCACGAGACATATTGAGTTGCCAGCCCAAAGCAATCGCTAAGTTTACCCATAGATGGCGCAGGACTATGTGGGGGTGAGAAGGGGAGCTTGGTAAGTAACGGAATGGAACTGATACAGTGGTATAAAGGTAACTCAAGTAATAGTATAATTGCCAGCTATTTCCTGTGACGTTTGTTGGTGGTTATGTTGGCACCCCTGATGTAAGTGAGTTGTCGTCTGGTACCCTGGCAACTATTTGTGGTTAAGTTATCTCAGCTTACATAGGACTGATATAGGTCAACCTAACCTAACCTAACCTAACCTAACCTGGTAAGATCAACGTTAGGGTGTTTAGTCGTCAGATGACAAAAGGTTAGGGCAGTTATTTTAAGATAAACATTTATTTCTCTATCCAGAACTCCTGACAAGAGCCAAGAGACCACACAAGCCACCCACCGTCCTGACAAGAGCCAAGAGCCACACCCACAACCCACCCACAACCCACCCACCGCCCTGACAAGAGCCAAGAGACCACACAACCCACCCACCGTCCTGACAAGAGCCAAGAGACCACAACCCACCCACCTCCCTGACAAGAGCCAAGAGACCACACACAACCCACCCACCGTCCTGACAAGAGCCAAGAGACCACACACAAACCACCCACCGTCCTGACAAGAGCCAAGAGACCACACAACCCACCCACCTCCCTGACAAGAGCCAAGAGACCACACAAGCCACCCACCGTCCTGACAAGAGCCAAGAGACCACACAAGCCACCCACCGTGTTACACATCTCAACATGTATTCACTATAACAGTTTAACTCAGCCTCGTGATGTGGGAGTTTGTATTAGCCATGTTTAACCCCCAACTTCTCTTGTGTTCAAATTAAAAAAAGTTTGTTTTTTTCATTATTCAATCTTTATCATCGTTACTTCTTCATTCTTGAGGGAGTAAACACAGCCTTGACTCTCTCTCTCTCTCTCTCTCTCTCTATCCTGATAATTATTTCTCATGGTTACTGAGATGGTGAGGGGGGGGAGGAAGTGGGGAAGAGAGCGGGAGGGGCAAGAGGGTGAGGGGGAGGAAGAGATGGGTGGGAGGAAAGAGGGTGAGGGTGGGGGAGGAGGAGAGGACGGGAGAGGAGTGACGGAGGTGGGAGTGACAGAGGAGAGTGACGGAAGAAGGAGAGTGACGGGAGGTGGGGAGTGACGGGAGGAGGAGAGTGTGTCTGAGTCTGTGTGTGTCTGTGTGCTTGACCTGACCTGACCTGAAAGTCTGTATAGAAGCCTCCAACCTCAAGTGACATTTTGGACGGACACAAGGCAGTCAGTCATGTGTGAGTTGATAAACATAATATGTTGGATTGTATTAAATGTTTACTTAACTTTTCCCATAATAAACCGAACAAGCAAATTTATTCTAAAATTTATCAGGGCAAGAAAAAATATAACATCATCATCATCATCATCATCATCATCATCATCATCATCATCATCATCATCATCATCATCATCATCATCATCTGGGGGATCGGTGGTAGATGCGGTACCGTTCTTGCCTCGTAAGCGAGATGTCACGGGTTCGATTCCCGGGCCGGTGGAAGGGGTTTGGACATACTTCCTAGCCCCCATTAGTCCCTGTTCACCTAGCAGTACAGTAGGTACCTGGTGTAAGTCGAAAAGTTGCGGATTCGTATTCAGGGACAAGTTGTTGGAGCTTCCAATAACTTGATGACATAAACCATTGACTCTTCAGGCTTCTACGCCCTTGACTCTTCAGGCTTCTACGCCCTTGACTCTTCAGGCTTCTACGCCCTTGACTCTTCAGGCTTCTACGCCCTTGACTCTTCAGGCTTCTCGCCCTTAACTCATGAGACATAAAGGCAAGCATGAACTTGGCTTCCCTGTTGGGCGCTGTAAACGCTTCTGCGCTTCACCTTACACAAGGATGTAGGGGAGTGCCCAATAAAAAAAAAGTACCCAAGTGTCTCTCTCTCTCTCTCTCTCTCTCTCTCTCTCTCTCTCTCTCTCTCTCTCATTAATCCTGTGGACTAGAGGGTAAAGTAGCACCTGAGTGTTTCATTCTTGTTAACGCCGGCTATTCAGTTGAGACACACCCTGCCCTCTCGACCAGTGGTGCACTACCTTGGTACAAGTAATCAGCGATCGGCCACAGGTGTACTAAGCCAACATAAGTCAGCGCTGTGGTCCACAGAATTTAAAGTAAAATCATAAATGCAGGACAATATTTTATTGTTCGATAATTGTTATATACAACACCGATATTTAAGACTAAACATAACTCATTCTCACCACACACTGTACATAGTAATAATAGTACTAGTTACTAGCTTAGTTAAATGTTCTGTAAAGACATTAGGGAAACATAATTTTTAACAATATAAAATATGAAACTGTCCTGGAGCAGTACAAAATAACGGTTTAATAACCGATTGGCTCCCGAAATACAAGCTTACAGGGGAAATTGTTTTATGAAGTAGTACAGTTTTATGATAGCCTGCAGTACAATACCCCCCCCCCCTAAAACTGATGTGATGTTATTATAAATGACATACAATGTTCTCTATGTGTTTATTGAGGTAAAATAAAGTTTACATTTCGTATAGGACAATAAGAGCTTCAACTACAGCTACAATTACACAGAAAAAGTTGGTTCTAGTGTGTTGGGGCAGCAGCCTTCACAAGGTGTGTGGTGTGACTGCTTGTGGTGAACGGTACTTGTTCTTCACAAGGGTAAACACTGAGTCTCTGCTCACAGTATGTTGATTTAGTAATAATATTTTTTTACCTTTTCAGTTTTTTTCTTTTCACAGTCTCCTCTTTAATTGCCGTATGAGCCGCAAACCTTGTTCCAGGGACGGTCTTTGCTTCGGCTTGATGTTTTAACTGTTAATGATCCATTTATCGAAGTTTTTCGAATATGATGTTTCACCGGGCCTAACTTGAATAGCCAGCTGACCTAGGCTATAAACCTCAGATGCTTTAGAGCAGCTTTTCCCTCTGAGCAGCTCTCGCGGCAAGTGTGGTTGTAGGTAGTCTTTCTTCTCGCCTTGGTCCTCGTAAACTTCTGTTCTTATTTTGCGCGCCAATCCAAAGTCAATGAGAGTGACTTGTGGCTCATCAGTTTTTATCTTCTTGACACAGATGTTTTCTGCTTTGATGTCGTTGTGACACCAGCGACGTTTTAACATTTGGGATATTGTTGTCATCACGTCTTCCAAGATTGCGACCGATTTTTTTACTGTTTTATGTTCTACATCCGACCCATACTGGGCCAAAGCATCACCACCATATCGTGTTATCAGAGTTTTCTCTGAGGGGCAATAACCAATTAATTTCTGTACCCCTGGCCCTTTATTCTTGATCAGCCCATTGAGTTCACAGTAAACATCATCGAAATTAGTGTCACTTTTAAATGTTTTCAGAACTACTCTGTCGCCGTCTCTGTTCACCACATTGCATGTTCCATATCCTCCAGAGCCTAGGGACACGCAGGACTTGTCTTCCTGCAACTCTTTTATCAGCGACCCTGGGAAAATTTGTACAGCTTCTCGCTTCAGCAGATGTTCTATAAATTGATCACCAGGAGTACCCATATCTAACTTTGGACCATTCTCGTTCATTACCGGGGGACTAAACTAAGGAATTTAAGGAGAAAAAAAATGTAGTAAGAGGTACTGTGTTTAGCTACTGCCTAATAGTGATAGTGTAGTGAGTGTAGTGAAGATGATAGTGTAGTGAGTGTAGTGAAGATGATAGTGTAGTGAGTGTAGTGTAGATGATAGTGTAGTGAGTGTAGTGAAGATGTTAGTGTAGTGTAGACGATAGTGTAGTGGGTGTAGTGTAGATGATAGTGTAGTGGGTGTAGTGTAGATGTTAGTGTAGTGTAGACGATAGTGTAGTGGGTGTAGTGTAGACGATAGTGTAGTGAATGTAGTGTAGATGATAGTGTAGTGGGTGTAGTGTAGATGATAGTGTAGTGGGTGTAGTGTAGACGATAGTGTAGTGGGTGTAGTGAAGATGATAGTGTAGTGGGTGTAGTGTAGACGATAGTGTAGTGAGTGTAGTGAAGATGATAGTGTAGTGAGTGTAGTGTAGACGATAGTGTAGTGGGTGTAGTGAAGATGATAGTGTAGTGGGTGTAGTGTAGGTGATATTGTATTGAGTGTAGTGAAGATGATAGTGTAGTGGATGTAGTGTAGGTGATAGTGAAGTGAGTGTAGTGTAGATGATAGTGAAGTGAGTGTAGTGTAGATGATAGTTTAGTGGGTGTAGTGTAGAGATAGTGTAGTGTGGATGAGTCTATATTTGAAGAGTCTCAGTGTTGCCAGTTGATGTTTTTAAACCTATTACCCTTTGAGAACTACTAGTCCATATAGTTCTGCCACCCGTACCTCTCTTCCATCTCTCCTCCCCCTGTCACACCTTCCCATCACCCAGCAGCGCTCGTCAGGCCCTCATACGCGTGGAATTTTTATCGTGATTTAGCATGAGAACTCGGCCGTGATTTCCTCAATTAGTCGACTTGAAAACCAAACGGGAACCATTCACAATTTTTTCGCTTCATTTATTCAGGAAGAAATTCCGGGCCACCTGTAGATTAGATTAGGTCAGGTCAGGTCAGGCTAGGTCAGGTCAGGTCAGGTCAGGTCAGGTTAGGTTAGGTCAGGTCAGGCTAGGTCAGGTCAGGCTAGGTCAGGTCAGGCTATGTCAGGTCAGGCTAGGTCAGGTCAGGCTAGGTTAGGTTAGGTCAGGTCAGGCTAGGTCAGGTCAGGCTAGGTCAGGTCAGGTTAGGTTAGGTCAGGTCAGGTCAGGTTAGGTTACAGTGCGTTACTTCTTGTTAGATTCACGATAAACACAGTAGATGTATGACTCGTGTACACATTTACCTGGTGTACACATGTGACCCGTGTACACATGTGACCCGTGTACACATGTGACTCGTGTACATATGTGATTATCTGTTGTATTTCTTCTTCCTTTTCTTCTGTGTTTTTCTCATCTTGTAAGCGAGATGTCACGGGTTCGATTCCCGGGCCGGTGGAAGTTGTTTGGACACACTTCCTAGCCCCCATTAGTCCCTGTTCACCTAGCAGTACAGTAGGTACCTGGTGTAAGTCGAAAAGTTGCGAATTCGTATTCAGGGACAAGTTGTTGGAGCTTCCAATAACTTGATGACATAAACCATTGACTCTTCAGGCTTCTACGCCCTTGACTCTTCAGGCTTCTACGCCCTTGACTCTTCAGGCTTCTATGCCATTGACTCTTCAGGCTTCTATGCCATTGACTCTTCAGGCTTCTATGCCATTGACTCTTCAGGCTTCTACGCCCTTAACTCATGAGACATAAAGGCAAGCATGAACTTAGCATGCTTCCCTGTTGGGCGCTGTAAACGCTTCTGCGCTTCACCTTACACAAGGATGTAGGGGAGTGCCCAATAAAAAAAAATAAATAAAAAATAAAAAATTATCATCACCATCATCACCAACATCATTATCATCATCACCATCATCATCATCACTACCAAAATCATCATCATTATCAATTCATTGTCTTAGCTTTATTACCAGTCATCATCATCTTTTTCATCTTCATCATATTTTCATCATCTCTGTCATCAGCAAAATCACTGTCGGCATCATTAATAACGTACACCACCACTACCACCACTACCACCACCACCACTACCACCACCACCACCACCACCACCACCACCACTACCACCACCACCACCACTACCACCACCACCACCACCACCACCACCACCACCACCACCACCACCACCACCACCACCACTACCACCACCCCACCACCACCACCACCACCACCACCACCACACCACCACCACCACCACCACCCCACCACCACCACCACCCACCACCCACCCACCACCACCACCACCCTACCCACCCACCACCACCACCACCCACCACCACCACCACCACCACCACCACCCTACCACCACCACCACCACCACCACCACCACCACCACCACCACTACCACCACCACCACCACACCACCACCACCACCACACCACCACCTACTACCACCACCACCACCACTACCACCACCACTACCACCACCACCAGCACCACCACCACCACCACCACCACCACCACCACCACCACACCACCACCACCACCACCACCACCACCCACCACCACCACCACCACACTTAAGCGCCGCCTTGCCTCCCAAATTCTTTAAAATGTGTGTATATATAACTTTTATCTGGTGGGCACTCAGACAAAATTTACAATTTCATTAATTTATGCAGACGACTTAGATGTGAAACTCTTGGAAGGAAAAGGAAAAGAGAGGGGGGAGGAGGAGAAGGAGGAGGTGGAGAGAAAGAAGAAGAAAGATGGGAAGTGGAGGAAAGGGAGAGAGAAGAAGCGGAAGAGATGAAGAAAATATTATAATTATGTTTGTTTTTTGGCTTCCTGGTAAAATTTTCTCATTTAGTAATTTAAAGTGAGACTGTTGGTGTCTCTCTTGGTGATGACAATTAGAGGAATTTCACATTAACACATTTAATTTAATTCCACTCATCCTGTAAGTTTTCAGTTCAGGTTTTTTCGCCCTTATGTTGGTATAATTTAACTCCTCAACTAGTTCACCCCAATTACATTTTAACTCCAACGCTCAAAAAAATAATAATTTCTCAACGCAAAAATCCACAATACAAAGCTAAAGATTTGTATTTTATTTTTAAACCTTGATAAAAAAAATTAGAGAGAGAGAGAGAGAGAGAGAGAGAGAGAGAGAGAGAGAGGGAGAGAGCAATACATCATCATCTCGTAATGTTGGTGTTAAGTTCAGTCATCTCTCCCCCACCTACACACACACTCAGACACACACACTCAGACACACACACTCAGACACACACTCAGACACAGAAAAACATAACTGATAAAACACTTCATTTAGCGAGGTCAAGCAGAAGCATCAGTAATTCGTAGTATATTAACTAGTGGATGTTATAGAGTATTCGTATTATGTCTGTGTAGAAAACTGCTGGTGTTGTAACTCATAATAACAGTACGATAGTAATGTTACAATATATTCTGATAATGAATGATGCAGCACGGAAGCATTGTAACACTCACAACATTATAGAAAGGTTCATTGTGTTGCATTGTATTATTTTTCATAAGACAAATATAACCAGAAAGGTTTACATGATAAATTATTTTTATCTCTCCCTGTTAGACGTTTTGATAATAATAAATAATAATTGGAAATGAATATAAAAATATCTATGTAACAAAATGCATGTAACGTTGACTTTCACATATATATATATACATATACATATACACGCGAGTATATACGAGTATGTGTATAAATACATTGTGTACACATACATACATCTCTGCTCCGTGCTGAAACATAAAAGTTAATTGTTTTGTGTAAAATGTTTTTGAACATGACAGGTAGGTTACAGTACAAAGGGAGATATTTTAATGGAGAAAGAGACGCAGAGAGAAACTGTTAGAGAGAACAGTGAGGGAGAGAGAGACAAAAGGCAGACAGGGGCAGTGATAGAGACAGTGAGAGAGCCCGAGACAAACATTGAGAGAGATATGGGAGAGAAATAGAGAGATAGACGGGCAAGGAGAAAAAAGACAGAAGGTAATATCATAATAATTCAATACATAAAAAGATTGATCTAGAGAGAATGGTAAATAGGAAGACAGACAGACAGACGCGTCGAGGGAATGTGTCTGTCTCTGTTAACTTGTTCTCGGTTTGTATAATCTCTTCTTCCCGCCAGACGATTCTTCTCTTCTTCCCGCCAGACGATTCTTTTCATCTTTCATTCATTCCATTTATCATCTAGGAGATAATTGCATTTCCTTCCTTCTCAGGTTTTGCAATCCGCATATGACCTCCCCTTACACACACACACACACACGCACACCCACACACACACACACACACACACACCGTAACCTCTAACATTTCACCTCTAAGCTTTGTTCATTCTATCATTCTCCCTCCGGTAAAATTACAATACCTTTACTTATTAAAGATGCATCCCACACTCTCCTGGTCATATCGGCTCGTTGTTGAGAGAGAGAGAGAGAGAGAGAGAGAGAGAGAGACGCTGTATTGCACCTATCAGCAGAAGTTTACCCGGCCAAATAACTCTTCCACCAAACCCTGAATATCTATCTAGCTATCTACCCTTTCATCGATCTATTAAACCACACACACACATATATATATATATATTCCCTGACAGCTCCCAGACTACCTATGCTTTTAGGGTCAAAGAGTTAAAGGTGGGAGTTGAAGCTTTGAAGAAGGGCGTAGGCTGGCTGGCACCTCCCTAGAGTGCCTCCTCGTTATGCTCCCCCTCCGGCACCCTTACCTCCACCTCCTCCACTATCTCCTCCTCCTCCAGCCCATCCCATCACCCCGGACCACCACCCCCTTCATCACCCCCTGACCAGCTATTTATTCGTTTTTTTTTTAATTCTCCCACAAAACACTATATCTGTTTTGCTTTCATCACCCCATTATTAGCGTCTTTTTGCCTTATTCTTCTCCTTCCTCCTCGTATTCCCCTTCCACTGTTCTTATTTTTATTTGGGACAATTGGTTGATTTGTTAAGT